TTTTGGTCTTTTTGAGACAGGGTCTCCCTGTAGCCCCAGCTGTCCTGGAACTCACTATGTAGACCAGCCTGACCTTGAACTCACAGAGATCTGCTGCCTCTGCCTCTACATTACTGGGATTAAAGGTGTGTGCCACCATGCCCAGCCCAAGTTTGGTCTTTTTATGGTGTCACACAATTCCTGCATATTCCATTCTTGTGCTTTCTTAAATTTTTCATAATCTTTTCTTGAGTGGTCTAGTTCGTCCACTTCATCTTCCAGTCTTGATATTCTGTTTTTAATTTCATTCATCCTGTTGGTGAGGCTTTCTCCTGTCGTTTCTAATTGGCTTATTGAGTGTTTCATTTCCTTCTTCATTTTGGCTTGAGTAGTTTTCAATATTTCTAGTCTTCGAGGTTTTTATTTCTTTTCTTGTGTTCTTTAATCTCACTGAATTTTTTTTTTCATGTTCATAATTGTTCTTTTGAGTTCCATGTCCTGTGTTATCTCTGGGGGGTTCTCATTGTGCTCCTCTAGAGGACTTTTTTTATTTGGTGGGGATATGTTATTTTGGTTTTTCATGTTATTATTTTTTCTCTGTGATTTTGACATGTGAATTTATTTTCTGATTCTTGTGTGAAACTCAAGCCTTCAAGTTTTGGTCTGCTTCTTTTTATAAACTTTATGTGCCTCTGTGGTTTACGTTTTGGGCATGAAAAGCTGGTTCCTCTAAGCTTCCGGTTCTCTCTTTTGATTTTATATTGGAGTGGCCAGCTTGCTTTTTCCTTCAGGAGTTCCCACAGAGGCCAAAGTCAGGTGAGATTCAGATGCTCTCAGGCTTTCTCCTAAGGTCTGGATCCCTCCAGGAAAGACTTTGGCCTCAGCAATTTGGGGGTTGCACTAGCCTGGGACCTGGGCCCAGGAAAAATGCTGGTCTTGGGCAGCTGGTGGCTGTGCTACCCAGAGATGCAATGGGAGATGGGGGCAGGAAGAGGCCCCAAGGGCTCCTGGGGAATGCACTGAGGAACTGGGTTGGTCTTGATGTAAAGGATCAGGAAGCAGAAATGTCAGCCCCAGAGTCCAGGAAAGAGGCTGGCGGGTTGTGCAGCAGAGGGAAGCAGAGGGAGGTGAGTGTGGAACCAGGCCTGTAGGGCTCCTGGGGACCATGAGAAGGAATTGGGTCTGTCTGGTTGCAAAGGATCAGGAAGCAGTGGTGGCCCCGGGCCGAGGGCTCAGCCCCAGCATCTAGGAAAGAGGCGGCAGCCGTGCAGCCCAGGGAAGTGGAGACGATAAATGTAACTTTTTTTTAAAAGAAAGAGAAATTTTGATTTGTCTCTTTGTTTCAAAGATATCAGTCCATGGTTGCTTGACCTCATGACTTGGGCCTGTCATGAGGCAGAACATGATGGTGGGGAGCATGTGGCAGAGTAAACATAGCTGTTCACTTCGTGGCAGCCAGGAAGCAGAAAAGAGGGAGCAGGAGCATCTTTACACCCTTCTAGGAAATGCTTCCAATAGATTACTTCCTCCAAGTAGGCTCCCACCTCCCAAAGCTTCCTGATAGTGCCTCCAGCTTGGGACGAAGGCTTCATTCGATGTCTTTGAAAGGAGCACTTTGATCCAATCCATGACAGTTAGCAATGGGATGGGTTAGACTATTGTAGGAGATTGATTAGAAAGTGGTTAGTGGATTAAGAGGCTAGAAGGAATATGGGTGGGTGGAGAAGTGATGAATACCAGTGCTGGTATATACCAAAGTGTGTGTGCATGTGTGTGTGTGTGTGTGTGTGTGTGTGTGTGTGTGTGAGAGAGAGAGAGAGAGAGAGAGAGAGAGAGAGAGAGAGAGAGAATGGATTAAAGGCTAGGCATAAGTAGACAACTGAGTAGGTATGTGCTGGACAGGGGAGCAAGCCATAAGCAGCGTTCCTCCACAGCAGTGCTCCAGCTCCTGCCTCTAGGTTCCTGCCCCGAGTTCCTACCTTGGGCTCCCAATGAACTGTGACCTGGCATATGTAAGCTAAATAAACCCTTTCCTCCTTGAATTGGTAGTGGTCAGAATATTTTGTCACAGCAATGAAGAAACAAACTAAGACAAGGTATAAGGAAGATGAGAAAGAAGGGAAGAGAAGCTAAATGGGTATGTGGAATGGATTTGTGGGCAAATGGGCTGAAAGGTATGTAAGTGGAGGGTTAGATAATCAGAGAGTGGGGATCTGGAGGAATAGTGGGAGGCTGGTCAAGTGAATTAATGGACTGATGAATGGTTGGTGGGCAGATGAGAAGGTGAAAACATGATTGTACAAGTGCGAACATTAACCAAAGTTAAAGATATAAAAGAAATTATATACAGCAATTTGTATTATACTAAATAACTGTATTTAAAAAGTACAGAAAAATGAATCAATTTTTGGAAAACGTAAAAGACCAAAATTCACAAAGGAAGGGGGAAATTTTTTGCACAGACAGTGAGACAAAATATTGTGTGGCAGTGCACCAGGCCCAGTGGCAAGGGGGTGCAACATGTTCTAAGTCCACATATGTACCAGGGGTATATCACAGAATCTGAAGAGCTTCAGGAACTCTGGGTGCAAGAGGTGGTGGATTCCACTGCAGAGTGTGTGGAGAAGCAGAGCATCTGGAAGATGCATTTTGTGTTCTGGTGCAGCACCTGTGGCCATGAGTACAGTCAGCATCCATGCAAGAGGTGTAATGGTGCATCAAGCCCTGCCATGCATTTCTGGCTCAAGCCCACTCCTTGGTGACCAGTTAGCTGGAAAAGTCCCAGGACCAGGTGCACCATGAATTACCATGACAAGGCCAAAAAGTCCACTGAGGCAGGGACTGAGGAGCTTCCAGTGTAGTGGCAGCTGGACAATTATGTCACAAAACAGGTGGATGACCACACATGCCTCCTTCCAGCTGAGACTGAAAAGATAAAAAGGTCTTTCATCCATTAGGGAAATAATTCTTTCTGGTGGCTACCTAGGCTGATTGCAGGAATCTCTATTTAAAAAAGGAATGAAATTTTAGTATTTTAAGTGAAGTTTCTTGTATTAGTTACTTTATTATTGCAGTGATAAAATATTTGACAGAAATGACTTGAGAGAAAAGAGTTATTCTGTCTCATGGCTTCAGAGGATTTCATTCCAGCATAGCAAGGAAGGTATGGAGAAGGGTTCAGTCTTTGGGGACGGGAGAGTGTGGCAAAGACTGTTCACACTGCCTCAGGCCAGGGAGCAGAGATCAAGGCTAGAACCAAAGCCAGGGCTATACTCCTCCCCCAGCGACCTACTTCCACCAGTTAGGTCCTTGAAGCACCACAGCCTCCCACAACAGCCAGGAGGTGGAGATCAAGTATTCAAACCATGAGCCTGGGAGGTCGTATCATTTATGAATGAAGGCATTAAGAACGACACATTTAAGGCATATTTTACTCACCTCTAGACACTAGTTCTTTTATGCTTTACTTCTAAAAATGAAATGGAAAAAAGTAGCATAGGAGAATGTTTTAGAGCCTACATTTCACATGGTAAGAGCGTATGCTGTCAGCAGCCTCCCTCGTACCAAGCCAGAATCTTCCTAGCCTCCAGATTCTTCTTATTACATGGGTACTAACAGGCTGACAGGTTATCTGCCTGTGTTGTGACGGAGTCTGAAGACAGGTGTTTCTGTTTGTTGCAGGCCTCTGGTTTACCAGGGACATCGCCACACCATTTTCCATAGCTATAAAACAATTAGTGATCCAGGAGAGCACTAATTTAGAAGGAGGGGAAAAGTTTCTGGTCTTTATTTTTCTTGAGTTTACTTTGCATACGAAGAACATGAAGTGGATTTTAAGATGTGCAGTTGAGAGAGAGAACTTCAGATACAAACTTTGAAAGGTTCCTTGATTTTGCTTACTTTAATTTTAAAAATATTTTATTTATTATCTGGTTTTCATGTATACAAGTGTATTGCCTACATGTGCCCATGTCGTGCAATGCCCATGCAGGCTAGAAGAAGGCATTGGATCCCCTGGAACTGGAGTCAAGGATAGCTGTTAGTCACCATGTGGGTGCTGGGAATCGAACCTGGGTCCTCTGAAAAAGCAACCAGTGCTCTTAACTGCTGAGCCATCTCTCCAGCCCCATCTTTGTTTTAATTTTTAATCAGGGTTCTTTATTTAGTTTGTGTGTGTGTGTGTGTGTGTGGGCACGTGCATGTGCACATGTGTATGTGTGTGTGTGTGCATGCACAATGCACATATCCCATGATGTGTGTATGTGGAGGTCAGTGGACAACTTGTGGTGGTCAATTCTTTATTTATTTTAAAAATATTTTATTTATTTTAAAATTTTATGTATATGAGTATTTTGCCTGCGTGTATATGTGCACCTGTGTTGTGAAAAGACCACAGAGGTCAGAAGAGGGCTTTGGATTCCTTCGAATCCTTTGAAGTTTAGGGCAGTTGTTAGCTGCCGTGTGGGTGTTGGGAAATGAACCCAGGTCCTCTGCAAGAGTGGCCAGTGCTCTCAACCATTGAATCATTTCTCCAGTCCTCAATATTATTTTATAGGCTTTTAAAAACAGAAGTTTTTTTTTAAAGTCATTAAATAAAGAAGAGTTGATTTTTGTCCTCTTTTTAAAAATTTTATTTAAGCAGGGTGTGGTGGCATATGCCTTTGATCCCAACAGTTGGGAGGCAGAGGCAGGTGGATCTCTGTGAGTTTGAGGTCAGCCTGGTCTACATAGTGAGTTCTAGGACAGCTGGTGCTACTGTCTCAAAAAATATACAAAACCAAACCAAACCAAATACATTATATTTAAAATCATAACCCTATTAGTATTACCGTAGTTGGCAACATAATTTGTCAAGGTAGTTGAATACAAGACAAAGAATAGTTTTGTATTATACCATTCACAGTTATTTTGATGATGAAAGTTTCTACTTACTCTTCAGTATCTGGGATCCAAGCACTTCAGTCCACAGTGCATGCAGCATTTCTCTTCTAGTGGACAGTCAGTGTCCTGTAGACATTTGGGTTTATCGATCTTGGAACACGCCAGGGGCTTCCGTGGGCAAAAACCTATTTTGACTTTATGAAGTAAAATAAGACACTTAACTTTGAAATAATTGGTCACAACTTAACACAAACTTAGAAACCCCAGACAATGTTTTATTCCTTATTTACTTGGGTGTGTTTGGGGGGGCGGTGTATGTGTCTGTCCACATGTGTGTATGGGTGTGCTTGCCTGTGCAGGTGCAAATGTAGATCAGAGCTTGACATTGGGTTGTCTTTCCTCGATTGTTTAACTACCTTATTTTTTTGAGGCAGGTCTCTCACTGAACCTGAAGATCACTATTTCAGCTAGACTGGATGACCACTGAGTCCCTGATCCTCCTGTATCCACCCTGTAGAGCTGGGTTACAGGTGTGTGTTGCTTGATGTTCCTGGATTTTACATGGGCTCTGGGGATCCAAACTAAAGGTCCTCATGTTCACGCAGCAAGCACTGTACCCACTGAGCTCTCTCCCTAGCCAAGGTTTCATTCTGATTAAATCTCCTTTTCCCCTATAGTTAACAACAGATCATACGAAGCACAGCAGCAACTCTCTGTGACTAGTGACTTTGAAGAACATCAAAAAAAAAAAAAAAACCTGGCTATCATGGAGATATATAATCTCTTAGGACTTCTACCTCCCCTACCAAAGTAATGGATTTGAGTTATACAATCCTAGAGTAATAGAGGTGGTGGGAGTATCATAGAGCCCTCAGAACTTGCCCATCTTAGAAACAACAGACATTGGAAACTAGTATTCAAAGTCTTATTAAAAGGTGGAAGAAAAGTTGAGGTCAGTTGAAAAGCCTTTTACGCTTGCCCTTCTGTTGTGCTGTGACTTAAAGCTCTGATGATCTTAGGACTACAGGGGGCGGTGGTAGTTTGTACCCCCAGCACTAGAAACTGAGGAGCTGGTATCTAGTCCAATAGCATTTGTAACTAGTCTTTCCCTCATGTCACAGTTTTAAGGAATATACCTAATGGTTAAGCGTGTATGTATGTGTGTGTGTATGTGTGTGTGTGTGTGTGTGTGTGTGTGTGTGTGTTTGCTTGCTTATCACTGGACACCATCGTTTTGCAGGTTACTGGAGAATGAGACTCAGAACAAGTAAACTTTCTTGGAGGAAAAAGAGAACAATGATTCTATGTGCGATTGGCTTTGAAAAGCAGCACAACTGTATCCAAGTTCAGGAGGTTGACATCATTAAGAGCACTCATTTGACATTTAAAAAGTTTTCCAAGATACCTCAAAGATTAGTCCAAGGGGCATCTGAAGTTCAAGGTACTTCTCCACCCACCCAGCCAGATGTGGTGGTGCATGCCTGTAATCCCACTACTCACAAGGCTGAGGCCATTTTGATTCCATAGTGAATTCCAAACTACCCTGGATTATGCAGTGAATTTATAGTCATTCAGATACTTCCCCACCCACTTCAAGGGATATCTTGGTATCCTTGGCATATGCCCAGTAGACTTTGGGAGGTACATCACTAGTCCTTACCTAACCAGACCCTGGCACAAACAAAGCCACACCTGGATTCACAACATTTTTCCTTCTCAAGGCAATCCATGTCATTCTTACACGAGGCTGGGCACTCCATTCGACCTCGGAAAGGGAAGAGTGGGCACTGTCCTTTCTTGACTAAAACAAGAGCAAATGTGAGCTTTACAACATCCCACCATACCACCACCCTTTAAATAGCATTTTATTGCTTCAAGGATTTTTTTTCTATACCTTGCTTTACCTTATCCTGACCATCTCCAGTAGGCTGAGGAGGAATAAAAACATAGAGTGTATCACGGAATATAATGCGCTTGGTGTCTGAAGCCCCAACATAAAGTCCCAGTCCTGTCACTTAATAATTAAGTTCAATTTCTTTCTCTACAAAATAAAAATAATCATGTGAAAGTGACACAAATTAGTGGAAGGCATTTTAGAGCATTTGGTTTTACTTTGACTAAAATGGAATATTATTCAGTGTTCCCAGTAGAGGAGTGACGTGGCCTGGCTCATGATTTGAAGGGTCACTGTGGCTACTGTGTTGATGACAGACTGTAAAAAGAAACAACAGGACAGAAGCAGGGAGAAGATGGCACCTCAAATCTGAGTGGCAACTCTAAGATTCTGGGTCTGTCTTCAAGCTAGAACTAACTTATTGGATATTAACGGAGAAAAAGAGGCATCAAATATAATTTAGACTTCTTTTTCCACAAAAAATAGAGCAAACTATGATAGAGGCATATAAACAAGGAGCTTGCTTTTAGACAAATTCAACATGAGACATTTGTGAGACTGGGTGAGCGTGTTGACAGCAGGATGGAGATCTAGTATCAAAGGCACCAGGACGTGCATGGGGTTTTACTCAGTTCTTAAGATTTTGCTGAGTCATCTTCATTTGATTGAGATTTCTGTTAGGGAGAAATTTCTTTCTTTCTTCCTTTCTTTTTCCTTCCTTCCTTCCGTCCTTCCTTCCTTCCGTCCTTCCTTCCGTCCTTCCTTCCTTCCTTCCTTCTGTCCTTCCTTCCTTCCTTCTGTCCTTCCTTCCTTCCATCCTTCCTTCCTTCCTTCCTCTGTCCTTCCTTCTTTCCGTCTGTCCTTCCTTCCTTCCTTCCATCCTTCCTTCCTTCCTTCCTTTCTTCCTTCCTTCTGTCCTTCCTTCCTTCCTTCCTTCCTCTCTTCCTTCCTTCCTTCCATCCCTCCTCTCTCTCTCTCCCCCCTCTCCCCCTCCCTCCCTCCCTCCCTCTCTCTTTCTCTCTCTCTCTCCCCTTCCTTCCTTCCTTCCTTCCTTCCTTTCTTCCTCTCTTCCTTCCATCCTTCCTTCCTTTCTTCCTCTCTTCCTTCCTTCCTTCTGTCCTTCCTTCCTTCCGTTCTTCCTCTCTTCCTTCCTTTCTTCCTCTCTTCCTTCCTTCCTTCCTTCCTTTCTTCCTCTCTTCCTTCCATTCCTTTCTTCTTTCTTCCTCTCTTGTAACTGTAGGTCAGGTAACACTCTCTTTTTATCAACTTTTTCTTTCCTTCCTTCCTTCCTTCCTTCCTTCCTTCCTTCCTTCCTTCCTTCCTATTTTCCATCCTCCCTCTTTCCATTTTCCTTAAAGGTCTGCAGAACAGTAGCTCACAACCGCTCAGCAGTTATTCCTACCCATGCAGTGACCTGAGCAGTGGAAGCTGCAGTCCAGTCCTCCATGGCCGGTGGGAGCCCCAGTCATCAGCCAGAACTACAGGACAAGAGATTGGATACCTGCTTGCCTGCTGACAAGTTGGTCACAACAAACAGAACAGCAGTGAACTCGGGACTTGGTGCAATGCATTCACCCCGAAATTCCTCCTCAGTCAAAGTCTTCTTGGTAGTGACCTGCTTTTCCTTCTCAGTTGTAGAAATAGCGATCAGGCATGACATCCCATGGGTGCTTATAGGAAATGGTGCCACACGTGCACAAAGCTTTCCAGGTCAACATCCACCTCATCAGTCTCATTGAGTGGAGTCCCTCATTGTTGCACTGGGTGTCAATGTCCACATAGGGCAGAGGAGACTTTTGGTTATACAGAGCATTGTAGGCAGCTCGATATAAGACGCCTTCGTGAGAGCCTGGTGGCCAGCCCTGGGATTGCTCACCACCAGAAGATGCGGCTACCAAAAGGCTGGCTGGCCCTGGTTAGTGAGGGCCCCAGGAGAGAACCCCAGTGGTGTGAGTGGCTCCAGTGGCATCAGTAAACTTTAGCACAGCCCGCTGGTCGGTTCTTCTAGAAGGGATGACACTACCATCATCAGAGTTCTTTCTCAATGACGGAGGCACATGCAGCCAGCAGAGGCCTTTTCCCATTCCTCTTTGGATTTATGAAGAGCCATCACTTTTCTTTTTGTAGTTATACTGCTCCATCTTGGAGATCAAGGCTGGGCCACCTGCCGTAAAGAATGTGAGGCCACGCTTTTCCTTTGTCTGTAAGACATCAAGACTCCGGACATGGTATGAAAGTTTCCCCAGTATGACTACCTCCTCAGGTAGCACAGAAAGGACCTCTCTCTCTTTTTTTTTCTCAAATCAGACTCAGACATGAAATAAAAATTGGTTTTGTTCTTGGTTTTGTTTTGTTTTGCTTTTGACAGGGGTCTCCTGTAGCCCAGGCTGATTCTGAACTCAGGGGCCTTGCATTTCTGATCCGTTTGCTCTCAAGTGTTAGGATTATAGACCACCACACCTGGCTCAGTGTGTTTGAGAATCAAACACACTGATTACCTCTGAGTCCTAACTTAAATTTCCTGGAAATCAGCCCAAGTCCATTTCTATGGCTTCTTGTTCCCATTGGCTCTTTGGAGAAAGGATGAAGGCTACGTGCACTGCATCACCCATCTTTAGAGTCACCCACAAAGGAAAGCGTCAGGTCCCAGTTTCAAGTCACTCCACAAGATTGCCTTGGCCTTTTAGACACACTGAGCCTGAGAAACTAAAATTTCAGCTCTATCCTTGACTAGCTATCCATGCCTAGGCAACTAAGTCTAATTCTTTGTTTCCTCATCTGTAAAGTGTTGGTGATGGAGCTAGATATGGTGATCCATATCTATAATCCCAGCGTTTGGAAAGCACGAGGCAGAAGAATTGCCGCAAGTTCCAGACCAGCCTGGACTACAGAGTGAGAGCAAACAAAGCCAGAAATTGTTGATGACAATTTTTCTCAGCCTACCTCCGATAATTTAAGGTTGAAATCCCAGTGCTGATATATCAGTCACATCAATTCCAAGGATGACATGTCCATTTTGAAGATCCATGTTAATCATTTCAATTGTTGTCATTAATTGAATCACACCTCAAATGGCTACTATGTCATGTCTTTGTATCTTTAAGTACATAAATCCTGCCAACAATTCATTGAGGTTTTTTTCCATTGTTACAGAGGCAAAGAAACTTGCAGCAAGTGGGGAAAAGTAGGATTTGAATCCAGATTATTTGATGCACAAACTCTGTAGCATTATGGAGTCTCCCAACAGTATTGGTGCTGATCAGTATACTGAAGAGAGAATCTGCCTGCTTCTGTCTCACTCACTCTACCTCTCCACCTCCCAGGTCTACACCATCTCCCTGGGATTCTAGCAGTGACCTACCTGTGCTTTCTTCTCAGGTGATCCCTTAGTATCATGTTCAACTTTTGCTGTGATGAGGAAACATCTTCCTCTAAGGAGTTAGAACTGGGTCTCAAGTTCCACTGACCACTTTATGCACACTGTCTCTTTGTGGGGAGTATGTAGAGAAGACTTTAAGAATAGAGAAGTTGTGGGTATCCAGGGCATAAAAGGGAGGACTGAAGGAGTAGGATTAATCCCTTGAGTAAAGGCCAGGGAGAATCAGAGGGTTCAGGAAAGAGTAGTGTGGCGACCTAACTTTGGAAAGAGAAAGTGTGAAGCAGACCACCCAGGTGCTCAGAAGAGAGAAACAAGGGGGTTCCTGGCGTTACTTGATAGAACTTGGAAGCAAAGCCAAGGAGTTTAGGTGTTTATTTCGGCAATGGAAGACCAGGTGGGAAAGAAGGCATTAAGATATAAACTAGAAAGTCGTCTAGTCTGAACATGAGGTGGCTTGAAGCAGGAAGGACCAGGCCTTCTGTCCCCTGCTACTCTCCCACCTCAAGACTTCCTTGTGTCAGCATGCCAGAGTGGGTGGGGAAAGGGGCAGGCCATGGGAACACTTCAGGACATGGCCTGGCTTCCAGAGGCCTCCTGCCTGCTTACTTTTTCTCATTTCTTGGTCTAAAGATTCTTACAGTTTTTGGTCTCAGTTTTTGGTCACAACAACTCCACTAGGTAAATTCTGTTATCCCCATTTTTTTTTAGCTAAGAAAACCAAAAGTCATGAAACCAAGAAACCAGTTCAAGTCCTCTCAATTAGCAAATGACAGAGCTAGGGTTTAGAATCAAGGTGGCTTAACCTCAAAGCCTACTATCATATTAGTATAGAACTTCTAGTTGAGCGAGGTCCTCAGACTACTAGGGACATGGGTCTTACCAATCAACATGCAGGCATCCATGCAATCAGTCTGGCTGAGGAAGTTGTTGATGTTCCCATGACAGCCACTATATGTAAACGATTTGCACTGTTGTTGGTCAAAGTCAAAATACCAGCGTGTCAAGATGTCATTACAGTTTCCCGTGTCTAAGGGTAACATGCAGGGTTCTGAGGTAGGGAAGCACAAAGAGAATATAAAGCATAAAGACAAAAAGGGGGGTCAGGTCGCAGCCCTGAGCCAGTGTCATAGTTCAAGGTCTTGTCACTCCACTCATAGACAAAGCCAGTCAAAAAGAGACACAGGTGGGCCAGTGAATAAAGGCTCTTGGTGCCAACCTGATGCCTAGGAGACAGAAAGAGAACCAGCTCCTGCAAGTTGCCCTCTGGCTTCCACACACATGCCACGGCAGTCTCCCCCACAAGATAAAAATAAAAGAAAAATAAATATAACAAAATGTTTTAAAGATATAAGTTCTAGTCCTAGATCTACAACAAATGCTTGATGTTGTCTAGCTCTTTGGAGCATCACTGTTTTTCTTTCAAAGAACATTGCAAACAACATACAAAAGCACTTCAGAGTTGATCTTTCTTCCTTATAGCTTTGAGTTTTTGAGAGGGCAAAGCTTTCAGCAACCATATACAAAGTGCCTATCAAAGTGCTTGGCACATGGATAGAACACAAGCAGCCCTGATCACTGAAAACTGATGTGACACAGTTAAACTATGCTGTTCCCCCACTGGACACACTTAAAAATCTCGCAGGACATTCACGTCAAAGTCTCTCTAAGATCATGATAAAGTAAATCGAAGACTCCTGGTGTGGTGGTGCATTCATTTAACCCTAGCACTCTAGAGGCAGATGCAGGTGGCTCTCTGTGAGATCAAGGCCAGCCTGGTCTACATAGGGAGTTCCAGGCCAGCTGGGGCTACAGGGAGACCCTGTCTCAAAAACAAACAAGCAACAAAAAAGTGAAACAAAAGCAAGATAACCATGAAACTCACAAAATACCAAGTGCCTCCAACTTCTACCTAATATGAGTAACATACTATTCTACTAACTACAGTTTATCTTTATTTTATTATGTTTTATTTTATTTTATGTGTATGAGTATGATGCCTGCATGTAGGTAAGGTACAATCTGTGTCATGCAATTCCCAAGGAGGTCAGAAGAGGGCATCAGATCCCCTGGAACTGGAGTTGTTAACTGTTAATAGACAGTTGTTAGTTACCATGTGGGTGCTGAGAACTGAACCCGGGTCCTCTGCCAGAGCTGCTAGTGCTCTTAACTGCTGAGTCCTCTCTCCAGCCCCAAATTATCCCACTTTGTGACAATATCCAAGCTGAGGCAAATCCTTACTTCTTCAGCTCCTTCCCAAATTACACAACCAAAGCCTGGATCTTATAATAGACACCAACAGTTTCTTTCTGAGAAGGATTCCTCACTGTTGTCTATGGTGGACATGATGAGCAATAAGCCCAACTTGTTCAGCAAGTGTATTCCTGGTGGTCTTTGGCCAAAAGAAGCAAAAACTTAATCTCCCAGGACCCTGAGTTCACAAAGAGCTGAGGTTCTTATGAAACTTCCTAATGACCCAATAAACAGATCATCTTCACTCAAGCCCCTAATTTCCACATGTCTCTTCAAGTCCCACATGTATTTTGCTTTGTTTTGAGACAGGGTCTCACTATGTGTCCCTGGCTTATCTGAAACTTACTATGAAGAACAGGCTAGCCTTGAACTCAGAGATCTGCCTGCCTCTACCTCCTGGGTGCTGGGATTAAAGGCATGCATCACTACACCTGGCTCCCACATGTATTTCCTTTTTTTAAAATTTTATGTGTATGAGTGTATTGCCTGCACATATGTAAGTGCATCCATGTTGTGCAATGCCCGCAGAGGTCAGAAGAGGGCATCAGATTACCCTGGAACTTCAGTTACAGATGGTCGTTAGTTGCCATGTGGGTACTGGGAATTGAACCCAGGTCCCCTGTAAGAGCTGCCAGTGCTCTTAGCCACTGAGCCATCTCTCTAACCACCCCCCACATGTATTTTTAAATTTGAAATGTAGAGAAAAATATTATCTTAATATATTAATTAGATATTTGTGAAATGAAGGAATGAATGAATCTCTACAAAATGCACAGCTTCCCATACATATTAGATGCTGAATACTTAAAATTATTTAAAAAACCCCTTAAAGGCTAAAGACTCCCAAAAGGACCCACACACGTCTAAGCTGATGGATGTTTCATTTCTCAAACAACAATTAGAATACATTTGATTTTTCAAACAATAGCTTTGACGCATAGAGAATATGTAAAAGGCACTAGTTATTTGTGAATGAGTGAGTGTTGAACAAAAGAAGTCTAGCACTGATATCAACTACTGATGCCCATCATGTCTAGACTCATGACTGATACTTGAGGGTGAAGAGTTCAATTACTGAAAGAGAAAAGCTCTGACCTTTTTGTCTTGCCACCCTAGAGAATTATTCAGCCAGTTCTGGACACAAGACTTGGGAAACCCCAAAGGGCCCCTCTACCTTCCGCCCAGGCTCCAGTACCTTCATAAGGATCCATGCAGATCTTGGCACAGGCAAAAGTGCAGCACTTTAGATGGGCTTCACAATTGAAATCTGTTTTGCATGAGCTCTGGATCTGAGTCTTACATTCCAACCGATTTTGGGGGCATGTTCTTACTTTTTCTTCAAGAAAGAAATACCCAAGATCACATTCCTTGAGAGTTTCAGCTCTTTTCTTCCCACAAAAGTGAGCTGTGAAAATATCCCAGCCTTTTCCTTTACACTGGATTCTCAGTTCTTCCTCTGCTTATACTGAAGGGCCACATCTGTCGTGCTATTCTTGGTCCATTTAGATGGAGCTGAATCAGGAATTTGTGCTCAGGTGGAACTGAAGGAAAACTCTCTTGGATTCCAAGCCATGGAATTAAACAGGAACAAAGCCCCCTGCTTTAAATTAAGAAACTCTTTTCTCGTGACCTGGTAACTTTATTGCTTAACTCCTCTGATTCAAGCATCATAGACAGCAGAGGAGATTTATAAAATGTGGTGGAAGAGGTGTGGGAATGGTTGTCAGGACTCTTGATTTTGGTCCCTGACATCTTATGAACTCAAGACAAGCCTGAGTCAACTGTGTGGTTTCTGAGTTACTTCTAAGAGAGGAGGAAATGATGAGGAGGGAGAGGTACTATTGTCACACAGGTCTGGCTTGCTAGCTTGGTTCCAACATTAAACAGGCAAATAATATTTGAAAAAGTATTTTCCCTTGTCTGAGTCATAAGTTTCCTACCTATAAATTGCGAATGGTGAGCCGTACCTTACAGTCTGCTTGTAGAAATTAAGTGGGAGAAGAGCCATAATGTACTCACCCCAGTCCAATGCCTGGTACCTGGTCAAAGCCAGGCAGTTATGAGGCTGCTTCCTCCCTTTTTAGAGCACAACATGACTTCCTGACTTCAGGGCTTGTGGTAGCCAGAGTTCTAAAGTTGCATCCCCTAAGATTCCTGTTCTTTTGCTATTGAATCAAACACTAATTCAGGCACTGCTGTGAAGGGATTTTGCAGGTGCAAATCAAATTCTAAATCAGTTGGCTTTAAGACACATAAATACTTTAAGTGAACTATATCCAATCAATACCATCTTTCAAAAGTGGGGATTTTCTGGTTGGTAGAGAAGTCAAAGAAATTCAGACCATCAGTAGCCTTGACCATGGTAGAGGCCAAGTGCCAGAAAGTAGGGGTGGCCTCTAGAAGCTGGCACCCAGCATGGAAATGTTAGCCTCAGCCCTAAAATTGTAAGAAAATGATTATGCTACAACCAGTGATCTTAGAAGAGGGTTCTGAGTCCCAGATAAGAACAGCAGCTCTGGATGACACTCTGATCTCAGCCCGGTGAGACTGAGCAGGAAACTCAGATGCATCATTTCAGATTTCTGGCTTCCAGAGAATTTGTTCCATAGCAACAGGTAGCTAATACTGTGTTTCATGGCTCCAAACTGAGCATCTGTAACCAGGATCTAATCAAAGAGGCAAGATCTTTTTGTGTAGTACCGAGTCTTGGAATTATACAACTTTAGAGTTAGAAGGACCATGTTTACCGTAAGCACCAACCTCCTGATCTCATGTGTTAGAAAAATTATGTCAAATAGGATAACCAAATGAATTAGGCAAGGTCTGAGACTTAACAGGACACGTAACAGTGTCCAACTATTCTCACCCTTCACACCACTCTTGATGTACCCACCAAGGACGTCTTGAAGCTAAGAAGAACACATGGTTCTCAATCTGGAACCTACATTGAAATTATCCTTACATCTTTCAGAAGATATGGACTAACTCAGGATTTCTAGAAAATAAGGTATAGATGCTTCAATTATTTTAGAACTATCCTATCCTGGGGCTGGAGAGATGGCTCAGTGGTTGAGAACATTGGTTGTTCTTGCAGAAGACCTAGGTTTGAATCCCAGCACCCACACAGCAGCTAACAACTGTCCATAACTCCAGTCCCAGGGGATCCGACAGCCTCTTCTGACCTCCACAGGTACTACGCGACACGGGTGCACTTACCTACATGCAGGCGATACATGCATACACATAAAATAAAAGTAATAAATAAATTTTAAAAACCTACCTTATCCTGAAGCATGCATTTGGATACCAAATTTAGGCACAAGAAAAGCTAAACAAATAAAATGGGATCACTTAACATCTTACTAATGTTTACTCCAGCCTTCCTCCTCCTTCCGGGGCCACTTAAACCTGGACATGGGCTTTAGTTACCTTCCTGCCTCGTCAGCTCGAGTTCATATTTACAGTCCTCCTTCCTCCCTGGCCAGCTCTTCTTAGTCAATTACCTTGTGTGCACAGTCTTACACACACACACATACACACACACACACACACACACACACACACACCACACTTCTGTATTTACAGGGGATGCTCCCAGAGTCCTCGTGTCAGCTGTCTCCTGACCTTTCTAGAGACATATGTCCTGGGTTATCACATTCATTCCTATGATCCTGACTGTGATTCAAATATCCACTCCCATCATCTATTCTAACCTGAAGATCCATATTTACAGCTGCCTGAGGAAAAACCATTCAGGTATCTCTCAAGCACCTGTGTTTCAACATGTTGAAAACAGAGCTAGTCTCTTGTAGACCTACTAAAACCTTCTTACTCTCTGTTCCTTACCTTGACCTTCAGCATGTCAAAAATTCAGTTATTAAAAGCCAGTGAAGAGGATTTATTCCTCTTTCTCCCCAGCCCCAGATTCCTATTCGTCCAGGGTTTTGGTCTACTCTATCTCCTAACTCTCCCTCTACCTCCATCTCCTCTCTTTCTTTACTGTCACCCCCTCAGCTCAGCATCTGGCCTCATCTCAACCACTGACACATACTTTTCTCTCAGGCTCATGCCTAATGAATAATGATTTTTTAAAATTTACTTAGAAGACACATATTGAGGAAAGCTAGGGAGAAAATCTGGGGAGAACAGATAAAGAAACTCCAGAGTAGTAAGAAGGGGTGACTTTCTAGGACCGTGAATCCAGCAGTGTTGTCTTGAACCAATGCTCGCCCTTGCTTCATGTCTAGCCTTCAGTTCCCAGCAGGACCTCCCAAGAAACAGGGCTGCAACTTTGCTGACCCATGTTTGATTCTGATGGTGTACGATGCTGTAGTCTGCTCCAAGGAAAAGGCAAGAAACAGCAGGAGAGCTCTGCTTCCCCAGAAGGGAGCAGAGCTGTGGAGAGGAAGATGCCTGTGAGGGAGAAGAGAAAAGGGAGTTAGGCACACTCAGAGAGGAGCACACAGTATGTACAGAGAGACCTTCCAGAGGGTCCCCAGACCCACTTACTTCATGGGTGAGAAACAGCCAGAAGAGAAAAGGGACCTGCTTGAGGTGGCAAGTTAAGTCAGGCTTAGGGCATTCACCTCCAGGACTCTCCGTGGAGCCCCATATTCCAACACGGTGTTGCATCTCATCTTTCCTGGTCACTTGCCCATTGTCTTGCTTCTGGGTAAGAAGTCACACTTGAATTATCACAGGGGTTTGTTTGGAACTGTTGCAGGGGTGGTTAGCTGATGATCATTCCTGGAGAAACTTCAGACACAAGTCGGCACTTTCCTTTGCTCCACTGATGACAGAAATACATAGTATGAGATTCTTCTGGAAGCCTAGGTGGGCTATATGGAATCTCGATGCCTCAGAAGTGTGTGCACACATGTACACACACACACACACACACACACACACACAATCTCAAATGATCTTCAGTTAACAAAGAGATCCCTCTTACCCATCTGGTACCTTTCCAGACAAGGATCTTACCATACTTCTAAACAACCTGATAAATAATCCTGCTCCCTTCAAGCACAAAGTTTCATGTTTCTTCATGCTTCATATGTATTTTTCAAAGATCTTTTTATTTTGTTTTATGTGTATGAGTGTTTTACCTACCTGTCTGTAAGTGTACCACATGCAGGCAGTGCCTGCAGAGGTCAGAAGAGGGCATTGGAACCCCTGGAGCTGTAGTTATGATGATTGTGGGTAACCATGTGGGTTCTGGGCACCAAACCTGGGTCCTCTGCAAGAGCAGCAGGCACTTTTAACTGATGAGCCATCTCTCCAGTCCTCCGTATGTATTTTTAAATCTCTAATTTATTATTAGCGTCTACATGTATGTATGATGTGTGTGTAGGTAAGTATGCCACAATGCCCATGTGGGTCACACTTGGGAGTCAGTTCTTTCCTTCCATTGTGGGTTCTGAGGACAGAATTCAGGTCACTCGCCTGTGCAGCAAGTGCCTTTTTCGGCAGAGCCATTTCCCAGGCCTCCCACATGTGTTTTTAAATTTGAAGACATGAAGACCGAGAAATGCCTATATCTTACACGGGGTAGACATATTTCAAAAACAGCAAGACAGGTGGACAAGGAGGGATGGGAGAGTGAGAGTCTCGATGCAAAGTATACCTGTCTGAGTCTTACTGGTAGAGTTTCAGATGCTCAGGAAGCTGTGAAGACAGCTTGGAACAGCCTTCCTCTGAGCTACTAGAAGCAGCACCATACAGACTAGTGTCAATTAAGCCCCTTCTCTGCCTTTTAAAAATAACAGCAGTGGCTGCATGTGGTGTTGCACGCCTTTAGTTCCAGAACTTGGGAGGCAGAGACAGGTGGGTCTCTGTGAGATCAAAGTCAGCCAGGTCTATACAGCAAGTTCCAGACCAGCTGTGGCTACAGGGAGACACATGTCTCAAAAAGAAAAAAATTCCAATGATGTATCCTCCCGATATTTTCCAACAGCACCTGGACTCCTCAGTAATGGGAGTGATACCCTCAGACCAATAATCTAGTTTTGTTGTTATGGGAATGAAGATGAAATAATATGAAATTATGATGCTTCCATATAGAATGGTAGAAAGCTTGGTGTTTGGGGTTGGACTTGAATTGTCTTAGACCCACTACTTTACCAGCCATATAGTCTTGGCTCAGCCATTTAATCTCACTGAACCTCCAGTTTTCATAGATAAAATAATAATACCTGCCCATAGACAGGAGAATTAACCAACTGATTGAAGTTAGCAATGGTAACTGGCATGTAACCAGTACTTAATCTGTACTAATAAACAAATAACGGCAATGAATGCCAAAATGGTGCCCACTACCCTGTCAGCTTTTGAGTTCCCTTGTAAGAGACTAGGCTTCCCTAAAAGATGAGTCAAAGGCTGAAACCATTTGTTTAAGCTATTCTTTTGGTTTAAAATTTAACCTGGTTGTGCCTATCAACCAAGTCCTGAGAATAAATTGTTCAGGTTACCCTGTAGTGATTAGAAAGGAGAGCTCCTAGGATAGGCATGGTGGGAGAAACACAGATCAACAGTACTTCCAAACAAAGCAGAGGATAGTCCATTGTAAATTTTAATATATGTATACCCCATGCAATAAAAGGAACAAATATGCTAAAATAATTTGTTTATCTGACATTCAAATGTAATTAATCATTCTGTGGTTTCTTAATTGGCTAAATCTAGCAATATTAGCTAAAATAAATCTATTTTCATTGGAAAGTGTTCATTTGGGAAAAACACTATAAGATGTGGGACTATTGAGAGCAAGTAAACACCACTGAGAACTGCCCAGTGTTGCAGAACTAGGACAGACCCGCAATGCATAGACATGAAGGTGTTATCATAACTAATAACTGGCCTGCAGCTGGAGCTGTTGGTAGAGGGCTTACCTAGCAAACACGGGCCCTGCATTGAATTCCCAGTACCACATAAACCTGGTATGATGGTGTAAACCTGAAATCCCAGCGCTGGAGAGTTGGAGGTGGGAGGAAAAGGAATTCAAGGCTATCCTTGACTACATATAGAGTTAAGCCAGGCTGGGCTACATGAGACCCTGTCTCAAAGAAAGAAAAGAAAATGACAATAATTCAAGAGATGAAAAGACTTAGATTTGAATCCAGGTCCTCTTATCAACTCATTGTATCAATATGGATTAGTTTTACTTCAATCCACTCATTTGAAAAGTGGACAAGATCATTAACGTTCATGCTGGGATACCCATACCCCACAGATCTGACAGAGGGTACACAGGCACAGAATGATTTAAGGGTGGTTTGTGTGGATTCTTAAATTCCACATTTCTTTCCTCCTGAAGTTAATGGGCCTGCAGTCTAAAGTTGTCCTGTTATAACTTTATAGGTTGTTGTTGCTGTTGTTGTTGTTGTTGTTGTTATTGGAGGAGTGCATGGCATGGAATGTGTGGAGGTCAGAGGACAACTTTGTGGAGTCAGTATTCTCCTTTACCTTTATGTGGGTTCTGGAGATCGAGCTTAGGTAATCAAACTTGCATGGCAACAGCCTTTACCTGCTGAAGCATCTCATCAGCCCCTCTTCTAACTTTCATAAAGTTCTTTTAAAACCACATCTCTTAGGCCTGGGCAATTCATAGATAATGTCCATTGTTTATGAATTGCCCAGGCCTAAGTGATACATCTACAATGCAAACTCTACACCTAAAGTTCATGGAACGTAGAACAGGAATAAAGAAGAGGACACTAATGAATCAGTTCTCAATGATGAAGCTCTTCATGCAGTGGGGGCCAGGAACACAAAGGGTCACAAATGGCCAAAGTGTAGGCATCAAGAGTCTGCTGAATGATGGTCCTTGGACAGGACCCCTTTATTGAACTTCACCCACCCAAGGCTCAGAGACCATCTCGGAAGAGTGGGTGGAAAGATTGTAAGAGCCAGGGAGGAGGTGCAGGACCATATGGAAACAGAGTCCTATAAGCTCCTGGGAACCTGTTCATATGATTCTATGGCAATGGTGTCAGCACACACAAGTCCCATGCAAACCCAGGCAGACAATAACTCAGCATAGAACTGGGAAAATGAACAGTAGACCTCAATCTTATCTGAAGAAATGTTGGCAACTGATTGCTGCCAGTTGAAGAAGAGCTGATCTTCCTAAAACAAGGGACTCTAGATACGCTGACTAGACTCAGTGGACAAACTTACAATAAGGAATGGCTGGGGACACTGACAACCCAGTGGGTCTTAACAGGGATGACGGAGTATATGGGTTCCAGTGGAGGGGGGGCTATGGGAAGGTGCCAGTGGGGACAGGGGTATAAAGATGATTAAGATTGTTTGAGATGTGCTGTATAAAATACACAAAAAATTCAATAATTTATATATAAAACTATTTTAACCATAAACAAACAAAAACCCACTTCTCTATCTCCCACAGTCTCTAAAGCATGAAAACTTCTGGGTTCCAAACAAAGAAAAAACTCAGAACTCCATTTTCCCAAGGATGCTGTCCATGGGTGTAAAGCAAAGAAATTATGGGCTAAGAACTACTAAGAGAGGCCTTGGGGAGATGCTCAGTCATAAAGTGCTTGCCTTACAAGTGTGAGAGCAAGAGTTCAATCCCCAGAACACATGAGACAAATTTGGGCATGGTAGTACATGCTTGTAATCCCAGCACTGGGAAGACAAACGGGGCATCTCTGGGGCAGGCTGGTTAGTCAGTCTAGGCTCCTTGGTAAGTTCTAGACCAATGAAAGATCCTGTCTAAAAAAGAAAGAAAACAAAGAAAAGAGGGAAGAAAGAAACCACAGGGAAGTTAAGTATATTGGGGTGCAGCAAGATCGGTCTCCGCCTCAGTCTACCCTGGCATTGCTCAAGTCCCCTTGTGCCCACGTTGTTTCTACTTTCTTAATAAAGTTTCAAGATGGAAGTTGATGGAACAGTTTGGGAACCATTAGAGGGGCTTTCTTCAGGTCCTGCGAAGCTGGTTCTGGAGCCTGTTTCTCTCCTGCATCACCTCTGCGAAATCGCACTTCATAACAGAAGTTCTCTTAGCTCTTCTTTCCTTCCTACTTTTAGAGAACCATGACCTGGACAGATGCTCACGCTAGGATCAAGGTGTTTTCTCCCCACTCCCCACTCTGACAGTGTGTCTTTGCTTTTCATGATGGTTAAATGAAGGAAGTGGACCTAAGAACAGAGAGGGAGAAGGAACAGTTGGGGGTGATGGAGGGAGGGGAGGGGGAGGGGAAGAGGGAGGGAAGAAATGAATGGAGTAAAAAATAAAATGAAAAAAATTGGCATGCAAGGAAAGGAATCACAAAGATGAAGGACTAGAATAGATTTGATCTCCAAATTTCCCCCGGGAAAAGGAAGGCTCTGGAATTGGACATCACTTCTGCTAAAAGATTCCAGAAGACCCCAAGCAAGTCCTCCCCTCTCCTTCATGAGCCACAAAGTCAGAAAGCCTCCATTTTCCAAAGGCCAGAGCAGCCTATTGAGAGCCCCTTCCCTCGGGGTTAGCACTGTGGGTACCAGCTAGTCCACTGATGGCCTCTGAGATTTGCTGTTCCCTAGCACAGGCAGTGTGGCTGGCTGGTGTCCAGGGCTATTTCCTGGAGTACCAGGCCAGGCAGTCACAGAGCAGAGGCCAGAGCAGCTGAGTAGCTTCTCCGAGTTTTGATGCTTCCAGCTAGGCTGCAGCTTCCTAACATGAGACGATGGGGACTTCTGCCCTTCCTGGTGCCCTTCATCTTCCTGTGGAGCACCGAGGAACCTGAGCTGGCCGAGGGCTTCTTTTTCAGTAAGTACTGGGGATGCAGTCCTTGGCACGGAGAGAGGGACCTTGATGGAGTGAAAGAAAAAGAACAGTTTGCAGATGAGGCATTTTTTCCCCACCTCAGCCTGGGATCCTGGGTGGAAGAGAGATGTTTGGAATTGGTGTTTTACCCATTCCTCCTGGTTGTGCCCTTGGGTGAATGCAGGGACTGAAGTCTCTGGCACTTAACTCCCCACCACCACTCCAAGGAGGTCTTCCTGGAGGTGCCAGGCCTAGAGCTCATGAAAAGGTCTTCAGAAACCAAATAATCAAAAGGATTTCTATTTAAGGACAGGCCTCTCCCTAGCACCAGCCCAGGAGCTTCCAAACCTGCCCACTAAAGCTCCCAAAGCTAACCTATGACCACAGGAGACCCTCGCCTTTGGATAAAGAACAGCCTCCAGGTGTCCTTGGGATGATGAAAAGTGAAAGCTCTATACTTAGCAGCAAATACACAAAGGACTTAAGTAGTGGTGAAAGTTAGTGCTCAGGAGGCCACGTGACAGGTTCAGCTCCTGTGTCCACTCCTTCATAGCTGTGTGAGCCCGGCACAGGTTCACACACCCTCCCTATCCTCCTGACCCCTGTGTTCACTGGATGTGACTACTGACTGGACTTACCCACAGCTTTGACAGGAGGATTAAGAGAAAAAAGGCCCAACTTCATCAGTGTTAGTCACTATACCCGGGGAAGTGTGACAATGGCTCTGCCAACTTCGCTGCTCTAGTCTCCAACAAGATCCTCTAGGCAAACAGTGAGAGCTGCAGGGACTGTCCGCATGCAGAGCCACATGAGTGAACAGCCCCAGTGGAGCAGGCCCTGCTCCAGGGAACTGTGTAGGTTGTGAGAACAGTGGTAGAGATGGGCTCAGGGATCAGGTGCTGAGTCATTATGGGGTTCGGGAAATGGCCAGTGTTGTGAAAATCCTGAACCCCTGAGGGGGACCACCTTCTGATGACAGATGAGGGGAAACAGGGTTCCTCAGCTCTGAAAAGGTGGCCTGGATCGAGGAAGGGAGAGCAATGTCCACTTCAATGTCTTGAGAACATATCTTCTTTTCTTTCAGAAACATGTCCAAAAGTCAGGGTAAAGTGTGAAGATGAAGAGAGAAACCATTGTACAAGACACAGACATTGCCCTGATCAGAAGAAGTGCTGCTATTTTAGCTGTGGAAAGAAATGTTTAGACCTCACAGAAGGTACCTCTGAACCCGGGACTGCTCCCTCCTCCTGACCTGACAGTGTCCCACCCCTTCCGGAGTTACTCAGTGTTTGACCAAGAGTCTCAAGGCCTCTTCTTCTTAATACAAACCTTGTCGGTGCTGGGTGGGAGACCTGTCTGATTTCATTTTCATCTGTTTCAGCACATGTGAGACTGTAGCTTTCCTTTCTGAGCCTCAGTTTCCCCTTTTATAAGATAGATGTGGCTACTAGATCACATGATCTCTTGCCTACTCTTTGAGATGCAAAGTAGCCACTGAATTCCCATCAGATGCCAACACTGAGTCAGGCTGTCTGGTGAGGATGAGGCAGGTATGTGGTATTTCCTGGCTCATTTGTCCAGGTGTGTGTCTACCATGAGTTCCCCGACTACCTGACCTCCTGCACTCTTTCCTCTCTACCTGTATCCTTGAGCTCTGAAGAAAGCCATCAAGTCTATGCATCCATTTATTCATTCAACAAATATTTATGGGTACCCATAGCACCCATGATGGGCTGTTTGCTCATTTTGGCCAAAGCGATCTAAGATCCGAAGAATGGATAGGATGCAGGCAAAAACAGGAAGCTGTGGTCCTTGAAACACAGGTAACAGCTCATGGAAAGGTCCTGTGTTAGGAGACAGAAAGGCTAGCAGGAAGGGAAAGCTGGAGATGGACCACAGAGAAGGCTCAGGGGTCTGGTCTTGATTTCAGGAGCAATGAGCTCTTTGCTCTGGTTTGGTTTGGTTTTTGCTTTTGAAATAGGGAATCGCTTCTTTTCAGGTTGCCTCAACCTTGAGCTCTTCCTGCCTTGGCCTCCTGAGTGCTGGGATTTCTAAGTGTGTGCCACCACACCTGGCAGATTGTCTACATTTAATTTACCGGCTATGTGACCTCAGGAGAGTGATTTAACCTCTCCAAGTCTCGTGCTTCCTGTCTTGGTAACGTGAACATTAAGGTTCAACCACACAAGATAAATGTTAACATATGTCAAATGCTAAGAACAGTGACTGACCTTTAACAAGTGCTAAAATTGTGGTTATAGACAGCTTTTTGTATCCTAGTACCGTGAACCAAACAGTTGCTCATTAAATGCTTAAGTTCAGAATATTTATGTTATTTCTGACAACACCTTTGAAACATTCTCTTCATACCAAACTCTCTGCCAGTAGCTGCTGTATGAGGATAACATAAGATATATACCTTACCCTTGAAAACCTCAAATTTTCAAGGAGTCAGAATGTGTGAGACAAGGTCTTTTTTTTTGGTCTTTTTGAGACAGGGTCTCCCTGTAGCCCCAGCTGTCCTGGAACTCACTATGTAGACCAGGCTGGCCTTAAACTTACAGAGATCCGCCCGCCCTGGGATTAAAGGTGTGCCCTACCACGCCCAGCAAGACAAGGTCTTTCTATGTAGCCCAGGATGGCCTGGAACTCACTGTAGAACTCCTGCCTCAGTCCCTGAAGAGTGGGGATGTCAGGCCGATGCCACCAAGCCTGGTTTCAGGAAGGTTTGGAAGAATGAATGGAAGTGCCTGTAGCTAGCAAGAGTGGTTGGGTATTTAGCATGAAGGCATGGGATGAGCAAGAACATGGCCATTTTCAAGGATGAAGTTTGAAAGGATGAGTGTTTGGGGTGACAAGACAGGGAAAGCTGGAGGAAAGGAGGAAATGGATTTTGGAGTTCTGAGTGCAGCTCTGTCCTGAGCTCAGTGGATCAGTTACTCTGAAGACTGATACCACCCAGATAAGAGAAGCCTTGGAGATCAGAGGGTGGCCATTCTTGGCATCCTGGCAGGAAAGGAAGAAAGGAGGGCCAGTTACCAGGCAGGCTACGAGGAATGTTCAGATGCTGAGGAGACAGAAGAGAGGCCATGTGCATTATGGCTTCTGCTTCCTGCAGTGGTCCTGTCCCCACAAGCAGGCAGGGACTTTGTATGATCATCTCACATATAGGGAAGCCAAAGTCCAAAGGGGCCAAAGTGACTGGTCAAATTCCCTCTGAATCCAGAGCACAGCCCTGAGCCATATTTACCTCTCAATGGAGACAGAGTAGTGAATAGAGGAATGGGGAGGTGGGTGCTCTCCATGGAGACAGACATCCAAATATCTGTGATCTCCCTGCAGACATTTGCAGTCTGCCAGTGGATCCTGGCAGCTGCTTGGCTTACATTCCCCGCTGGTGGTATGACAAAGAAACCGAGCTCTGTTCTGAATTCATCTATGGTGGTTGCCAAGGAAATGCTAACAACTTCCCATCTAAAGCTATCTGCACAGTCATCTGTAAAAAAAAATGTAAGTGCTAAAAGTCCCAAATCCCCAAGTCCACTAGCCCCAACCACAGATCTAAAGATCTAAGACCTTGGCAGTCTTGAAGCTGAAAGAACCAGATTCAGCTAGAAGACAAGGATGCCCCTTGTGGAGCTATAAATAGAAGGGTATTAGGGGAAAGAGGCAAGGGAAATGGGCATGTATGAGGTGAAATGTGGGTGTAGAAAGGAAACACAAGTGAAGGAGGGGCCCAGACCAAGTCAGAGGAGGAGTGGGAAGAGGGCTGTCAGTAGTTTTTACGCTGGGACAACAGGTAGAATCCGGGCAGATCAGGACACATGATCCCTCTATGAGCCCCAAGCTATGTCATATCTGCTTTCACCTCTTAGCAGATGCAAAGACCATCCCTTCTCCTGTTCCATTAGCTGAGAAGTCTGGGTCCCAAGGTGACCAGAATCCTAGCGTTTCAGTCTTTAACCTGCTATCTTGCAGACTTTTCTTCCTGGATCTGAGGAGGAGGAGGAAGACCCTCCAGGACCTGGCCTCCTCCATGTGTGCCTGACCACAGCTCCCGATTGGCTGCCATCAACATAATCTTAGCCACTCAGACCTCAGCTCTTCCAAACACGGAATCCCAGAATTTGCTTACTCTCTGCCCCCCTCAGCTGCTCTTCAAACACAATGACCTTCAACCTCTGACCCTTCCTCAGTGTCAGACCCTAGCTCTTCAATTTTCAGACCTCTCATTTCCCCAGGAACTTCTGGTTTGTCCTAGTAAAAGATCCTGTGAGAGCTAATATCTCAGAGTCTGAATAATTCGCATCTGCAGTATGCAGATATCTGCATCTATTTGCAGCCCTCTGTGTGCAGTTTTCAGAGAACAAGAGGTTGTGGGTCATCTGCTAACAACAAAAGGAGAGGAGATTGTAAAATTCTCAAAATTTGAGAATTATGGTAAAATTATCATAAGATGCTGAAGCAAAGCATGTAACAAGAGCCAGAAACACTAAAAAACGAGACTCAGTTGAAAAAATTTAAAGGTAGACAATTTTTCAAATGAGAAAGAAATTCACAATCTAATGCAAACCTTTAAAAAACTGT